ACACAATGGAATATTATGCAGCACTGAAAAACAGTGAACTCATGAAGTATTATACAAAATGGGTGACCATGGAGGACATTATCCTGAGTGAAATATCTCATTCACAAAAGGACAAATACTGCATAATGCCACTGTTATAAAACAGGACTGACATGGGGGTTGAGGTGAAACTAAGAAAAGAGGGGATAAATAATGTACACGGCATTGAAACAGACAAGGGAGAAAACTACATTAAAAGGAATATATGATTATTATTAGCATGACAAGAGTCCAGAGTAAGATCTGCTTAGTAATGTGAACTGGGGTGGGAACTGTATAACAATGAAAATTTTTTTTCCCCCAAAGAGAAAAGCAAACTAGGTGGGAAGGGGATAGGGAGGAAAATGTACAACACTGAATGAATGGAAATCCAACTTCTCTATAAACTTTCATTAAAATCTCAATTTAAAAAAGTAGAGGGGAAAAAGATAAAATTAAACAGCAATAAATATATCTAACAGTCTAGGGTCATTTTCAACCTGAGAACTCTCCACACTAAGGCACTTTGTTTTGAACGCTCTGTGCATATAGCATGGGGAGCTCTGGTGGCCCAATCTGTAGGAAGTTGCACTACTAACCCAAAGCCTGTGCTTCTCTGGTGATTCAAATCCACCAGGAGCTCCATGGGAGAAAGATGGGCAGTGCTCTTTTAGAAGACTTGCATCCTTGGAAACCCAGTGGAGGGTCAGCTATGAGTCAGTTCTGACTCAAGACAATGATAAGGAGAACATATATAGCATAAGACTTAGTGCATAGTAGATGTATAGTTAACTTTAGCTGAAGGTGGTTGTTGTAGTTGTTGTTATGTCCCGTCAAGTCGCCTGCAACTCAGAGACCTATGTACAATAGCTCTGAAGACTGCCCTGTCTCACTGACTCTGAACACACCTACCTCCATTGCCCTAGTCTCTGTATCAATCCATCTCATCTGGGGTTTTCCTTTCCTGTGCTGTCCCTCCACCCTTAGAAGCATGATGTCTTTACAAGCATGATGTCGATCCCTCCTAGGCACTTGCCTAAAGTATATAAAGTATATAAAATGGAACTTCAAACTCCTAGCCTCCAAGTAACAACTTGGTTTTACTCTCTCTTAGACCTGTTTGTTTTCTTGGTGGTTCATGGTATGTTCAAGACTCTTTTCCAGCACCACAACCCAAAGGCATCAAATTCTTCTGTCATGCAAAGTCGTGTTTTGATTTCCTGACTACTGGTGTCAAGAGTTTTGCTTGTGGAACCGAGCAAGCTGAAATTGTTAATAGCCTCAATTTCTTCTCCGTCCTTTATGGTGCTGCCAGTTGACCCAGTGGTGAGAATCTTTGTCTTCTTGCTGTTGAGCTTCAATCTATATTGAAGACTATAGTTCTTGACCTTCTGCAGCAAGTGCTTCAGGTCTGCCTGTTTCACCAAGCTAGGTTGTGTCATCTGCAGCTGAAGTTGATGACCTTAAAAAGTATCATTCTCTGAAAGGAAATCCAAAATCTCTGTAAATGTTCATTAAAACTAAGAAAATAAAATTTTAAAAAAGTATCATTCACATTTTTGTAATAAGTCAAACTAGGCTATTTCAGAGAAAGAATGCCTCATTGTACTTTCTGTGCTAGAGAGAGTTTATGGGTTTGGTTAACTAAGATGTGTCTTGACTGCCTACTTTTTTAAAGTAATTTCTGATTAGCATAATGGTTGCATGAATAGTACAAACTCAGATAGCTTTTACCTGTATCCTTCAAATGTAAGATTTACTTCATCATTTTCATCCCTTTAACATATGTATTTAATGTATATAATACACACACCTAAAATTTGTTGTTGTTAGGTGCCATTGAGTCGAGTTAACACTCAGTGACTCTATGAATAAAAGATCTGAACCCTGTTCTATTCTGTACCATCCTCTCACTTTCTGACACACTAGAGCCCATTCCAGCAGTCACCATGTCAGCCCACCTAGTTGAGGATCTTCCTCTCCTTTGCCAACCATCCACCCTTCCCAGTATCATGTCCCTCTCCAAGGAACAGCCCCTCCTAGTAACATGCCCAAAGTATGTGAGGTGAAGAAGCCTCATCATTCCTGCCTCCAAAGAGCACTCTGACTGTACCTTCTCCAAAACATATCCATTTGTTCTCTTGGCCATCCGTGGGATGTTCATTGTTCTTCTCCAACAACACAGCTCAAAGGCACCAATTCTTTTTCTGTCATCCTTATTCAACGTCCAGCTCTCAGATGCATAGCAAGTAATCGGAAAGACTATGGGCTAAATTAGAAGCAGCTTAGTCCTCAAACTGATATCATTATTTCTCAGTAATTTAAAGAGATCCCTAATTGTAAATTTTCCCAGTGCAGTGTGTCTCTTTATTTCCTGATTGCTTGTTACCAAGGGTCTTTAATATTACATGCAAGCAAAATACTGCTAAAGATCATCCAAAAATGTCTAGAATAGTACAGAAATAGGGAACTTCCAGAAATTCAAGCAAGATTCAGAAGAGGCCCTAGCATCAGGGATATCATTGCTGATGTCAGATGGATCCTGGCTGAAAGTAAAGAATATCAGAAGAATGTATATTTATGTTGTATTGACTATGCAAAGGCATTTGACTGTGTGAATCTTTTTTTTTTTACTGTGTGAATCTTAACAAGTTGTGTCTGACATTGAGAAGAATAGGAATCCCAAAGCACTTAATTGTAGTCATACAGAACCTATACCTGGACCAGGAGGCTGTTGTGTGAACAGAGCAGGGGAACACTGCATGGTTTAAAATTGAGAAGGGAGTACATCAGAGTTGTATTCTCTCTCCATGCCTATTTAGTCTGTATGTAGAGCAAATTATCTGAAAAGCTGGACTCTATGAAGAGGAGTATGGCACCAGGATTGGAGAGAGACTCATCAATAACCTGTGTTATGCAGATGACACAACCTTACTTGCTAAAAATGAGGATGACTTGAAGCATTGTTGCAGAAGATCAAGAAATGCTGCCTTCAGTATGGATTGCATCTAAATATCAAGAAAACAAAGGTTTTTTACCACTGGGACAATAGACAGCATCTTGATGAGTGGAGAAGGGATAGAAATTGTCAACAAGCTTCATTTTGCTTGGATCCACAATTAACACCCTTGGATACCTAAAAATGTGTGGTGTGTAATTTTCTCTGAGCTATTTGAGAATTGTTTGCACACGATTCCTGTTTGTCTCTTTATATCAGTGTATATCTTTAAAATGTATATCCAAGATATAAAAATTTTGAAGAGAGGTCATTTTTTGGTTTTTTTTTTTGGGGGGGGGGCTGAGTACAGTGTACTTTATTGATGGTACAGGACAAGATGGGCTCGCCAAGCTCCTCCCCTTTCTCAGGGGGATTTGATGGAAACTTGTGTCAAGGATGTGAGATTCGCAGTGTGTGGGAGGATCAGGTTGGGGCAAGGACTCCCCAGCAGCTGAGGGTCTTTCTCTCTCTCTTCTAGTGCTATTGCTGGGGCTGGCGGTCCAAGGGGATCTTACTCTTTGGAGGCCATGTGAACCATCAGGTCAACCACCCAGTTGCTGTAGCCAAATTCATTGTCATACCAGGAAATGAGTTTGACAAAGTGGTCGTTCAGAGCAGTGCCAGCCCCATCATCAAAGGTGGAAGAGTGGGTGTCACTATTAAAGTCACAGGAGACAACCTGGTCTTCAGTGTATCCCAGGATGCCCTTGAGGGGCCCTTCTGATGCCTACTTTACTACTTTCTTGATGTCAAAATATTTGGCAACTTTCTCCAGACAGCAGGTCAGGTCCACAACTGACATTGCTGGTGGGGACACGGAAAGCCATGCCGGTAAGTTTCCCATTCAGTTCAGGGATGACCTTGCCCACGGCCTTGGCAGCGCCAGTAGATGCAGGGATGATGTTCTGGGTAGCTCCACGGCCATCACACCACAGCTTTCCAGACCACAGTCTTCTGGGTGGCAGTGATGGCATGGACTGTGGTCATGAATCAGTCCCTCTACAATGCCGAAATTGTCATGGATGACCTTGGCCAGGGGAGCCAAGCAGTTGGTGGTGCAGAAGGCATTGCTGGCAATCTTGAGAGAGTTGACATACTTTTCATGGTTCATGCCCATCACAAACATGGGGGCATCGGCAGAAGGAGCAGAGATGATTACCCGTTTGGCACCAACCTTCAAGTGAGCCCCAGCCTTCTCCAAGGTTGTGAAGACACCAGTAGACTCCACAACATACTCAGCACCAGCATCACCCCACTTGTGGTTGGCGGGATCTCGCTACTGGAAGATAGTGATGGCTTTCCCATTGCTGATCAGCTTCCCATTCTCAGCCTTGACAGTGCTGTTGACCTTGTCATGGGTGGAATCATATTGGAACATATAGACCATGTAGTTGAGGTCAATGAAGGGATCATTGATGGCAATAGCTTCCACTTTGCCAGAGTTAAATGCAGCCCTGGTGACCAGGTGCCCAATGTGGCCAAATCCGTTTACTCCGACCTTCACCATCGTGTCTCAGGGATGTGGCTGAGGCTGCACAAGAAGAGAGGGCAGTCTGGATCGATGAGGAGCAGAGAGCCGAGAGGTCATTTTTTTATATAATCACAGAGTATCACTATAGGAAGTTGCTTGTTGTTTTGTGCTGTCAAGTTGACCATGACTCACCTATGAGCAATGGCTCTGAACCTTGTCCTATCCCAAGCCAATTACACCACAGGAAGCTACATGGGTACAATACCTTTTTCTAAGCTACATACTTTATTCAGACTTAATTAATGAACCTAATAGTGTCCTTTAAAACAATAGAAAAATCTTGGATGCCTGTCTTTCAAACATGTTATATGTGCTACAGAATACTCATGGCTTCTCAAATGATTTCCTATGTTTGGTTCCAAGAGCAATATGAGCAGGTGCCCTGTCCTCTGATTTATTTATGCAGGCGGGGCAAATGGCTTTGTCTGATTTTCCTTCTTTTGTGTGATTCAGTGGAGCAACGTGACTTCATTGGAGTGGACAGCACAGAAAAGAGGCTGCTCTTCATGGCTAATGAAGCAGACTTGGATGAAGAGCTGGTCATTAAGGGATCCATCCTGCAAAAGTAAGCCCTAGGGTTTTTCTTTTTGGCAGTTCTCCTTATTTTAAAACAAAATAAAACCACCCAGTGGATGGGAAAAAGGGAATGAAAACTAGATTATACTGTGTGAAATTGACAAAAGTATGTGAATGTTTTCCCATGAGCCAGGATGGAGGCTTTTCTTTGCTGCTTTTCTTGCCAAGGTAGAACCAAATCCTGCATAGGAGTGGTACAAAGTATTACTTTAACTTGACAGTGTTAAAGAGCCTCCTTTTAATACAAAGCTACACATATGTGATCTAGGCATATTTTCTCCAGTCAGAATTTATTGCTTGCCCAGCACAGACTTTTTAATCTAGAATCATCATACTCAGAACTTTACTGTCCACTGCCAGTACAAGCCAGTAGGAATATTCAGTACATACTTGAAAGTTGTATAAATGATAGCTGTGAACAAGAAGAGAAATATATTCCTTTTTGTGTTTACTGCTCAGCAAAAAGAGTAGGAAATATGTTTCCATATTTACATTTTAATGAAAGTCAAGCTAAACTCTGGTTTCAGCTGGGTCTAAATACACCTATAGATAAGTGTTCTTTATTAGACTCTTGGTTATTAATTAATGTGTGAAATGGGATTAATAATAATAAGACTCTTCTGAAGAATAGGGTTGCCTTAGACGTGCATTGATTAAGCAGTGGGCTAACCAAAAGGTTGAAATTTCATACTCATGTGCTGCTCTGTGGGAAAAAAGATGTGATAATCTGCTTCTGTGAAGATTTACATCTTAGAAATCCTATAGAACAGTTCTACTCTGTCCTATTGGGTTGCTGTGAGTTGGAATCCAACTTGATGGCAGTGGTTTTTGGGTTTTATTACCGTTTTGAGATTTTTTTCCCCCCCTTTTGCTTCTGGAAAAGTATTAAATAATGTGTACAAAGTAATGTGTACTAAAACACCATAATAATTCCCACTATATAGTAAATTATGAAGAGTGGTAAATAATATTGTTTTTATTAGAATAAATAATATTTTGCCTTTGACATCCAATGGGATGGCAAACTAGTTAGACTTAGAAATCTTTCCCTCTCTTGCAAGAACATCAGAAACTACTGAAAGACAATTATGGCCAATAATCCTACCACACTGATATTTAGGATAATCTATTGAGAGCAAAATCAGACACAGTTTGAGAGAGGAAATGGGAATAAGGATCAAGTGTAGAGATAGGTATAACAGTTCCATAAATTCAATCCAAAAGCCTCCAGGAAGCTGGGCTTTGGATCCAACTTCAGTGACTTGCCAGTATCTAACTTGCACCATGGAGAAGATAGGACCTCATCTCCCCCCATTCACTGAAGACCATCTAAATGGATAGGGCTTTCCTAGACCACCATCCCAACCCTCCTACAGTAAGCAGGCCAGCACCATTTTTATTTTTTTTCTATAATTATATTTTATTAATTTTCATAAACATTTACAGAGATTTTGGGCTTCCACTCATTCATTGTTGCACTATTCTCTCTACCCTCC